TTTGATATATCCACTTATTCAGCAAAGGTTTGTTTTTCTCTCTTCTGTTCCCCTCGATCTTTACCTTTTCTCCCAGTCACTTTTTGTCTCTTCTGTTTTCCTATTCTGCCTAGTTTGTGATATTTTGCCAGTTCTTTATCTCCTACATAGCTTATCCAATTTGTCATTGTACAATTCCCTGTAACTGCTTCTTAGCTGCTTCTTTTTCATTTGTCACATTTTATTTTCTGTTGATTTTGTTTTCATGCAGTTTTGGAAAGTTTGCACATATGCTTTTTTAAAATTTATGCAGTCTTTTCATATAAGATGTACTAGTTTCTTTGTCTCATCTTTTCCCTCTATAAAAATGTAGCTGTTCTTCCTTGCCTGTAATTCTTCTTCTCTTCCCTCAATTTGACCAGACTTGGAGGATTGAGATAGATGTGTCACTTTCTATAGTTTAGGAAATTTTCTCTATTCAAAAAGCATACAAGAAGTAAATAATAATGCTGTAACTCTAAAACATGTCCCTCCTGTGCCCCTGCCTGCTCCATGTATTTCTTGCCTACCCTTTCTTTAATAATGTATCTGCTTTGTACACCTTTGTCCCCTTATACCCAGAGATTCTGCTGCAGCTGGTTTAATGTGAAATTCTGGGCTTTTATATTTTGAAAAACCTCCCTAGGGGAGTCTGATAAGCAGTCATTATTAAGAATGATGCTTTAATATTGGAATCAAAACACAATAAACTTTCTAAGGGATGATAAATAATCCAATCAATTTAATTATGATTTTTTTCTATCCCAAACTCAGACTAGATGTTAATTGCTAGAGAAATAGATAAGAATGCCTAGGACAACAGAACTTGAATGTGGTATCAGAGCTTGGAAATTTCAGTGGTAGTGAATAATTTAGTACTTAAAATATTTAGAAGTTATAAAATGAAAATTAATTTGTTTTGCACTAAGTGAATAAAGTTGATTGAGGTTTTCCATTTAATTGTGTAAATCAAGTCACATCTTCAGGCTCAGCAGCTAACTGTGAAACAACATGTACAAGTTTTAACTTCCTGTTTTGGTCCATTATTTTGCCTTCTTAGGCTTTATTATTGAAAATTCTCCTGAGGTCGATCATACACTGTAAATACTTCTCCTGATTGCAAAATCTGTTCACACAAATGCAATAGACTATTTAATGAGCTCTCTTTCACAAAATTAAAAAAAATCTGAAAGCCCTGATTTGGGACTCTACATAAAATGAGATTTAGATCTAACAATTTTAAGTTATTGCTTCATTCTTAGCTACTCAGTTCTATCACCTATCTGGGAAATGGAAATAATAAAACCCATGTTGATTCTACAATTGGATTGTAAAAGTCACTGTAGCCATCAGCCATGAAGTGGAAAAACTGAGATCAAAAATACAAAGCAAGACGCCTGAGATAAAAATTGTGAAGTTTCATTAGTTTATAGCATTATAAACCAGCAACAAGAATTCTTTGATTCGTTAACAAAGATTCAGAAGGCATTTACTCTATCATCTTATTACTCAATGTGTTGTTCCCACACCAGTGATATCGGCATCCTCTTGAAGCTTGTTAGAAGCTGAAAATTCGGGGCCCTCCTTAGACCTACTGGATTAGAACCATCAGTTTAGCAAGATCTCTTGGAGATGTGCACATTGAAGTTTGAGATGCACTGCTGTAGCACACATCTTACAGGTGTTCTATGCATTCTAAAAAATTAATTTATTGATTCTAATTGGAGGCTACTTACTTTACAATATGGTAGTGATTTTTGCCATACATTGACATGAATCAGCCATGGGTGTGTCCCCCATCCTGAACCCCCTCCCACCTGCCTCCCCATCCCATCCCTCAGTGTCATCCCAGTGCACCGGCCTTGAGTGCCCAGTCTCATCCATCAAACCTGGACTGGCGATCTATTTCAAATATGGTAATATACATGTTTCAATGCTATTCTCTCAATCATCCCACCTGTGCCTTCTCCCAGAGTCCAAAAGTCTGTTCTTTACATCTGTGTCTCTTTTGCTGTCTCACATATAGGGTCATCATTACCATCTTCCTAAATTCCATATACATGTGTTAATACACTGTATTGGTGTTTTTCTTTCTGACTTACTTCACTCTGTATAATAGGCTCATTTCATCCACCTCATTAGAACTGATTCAAATGCATTCTTTTTAATAGCTGAGTAATATTCCATTGTGCATATGTACCACAGCTTTCTTATCCATTCATCTGCCGATGGACATCTAGGTTGCTTCCATGTCCTGGCTATTGTAAACAGTGCTGCAATGAACATTGGGGTACATGTGTCTCTTTCAATTCTGGTTTCCTCAGTGTGTATGCCCAGCAGTAGGATTGCTGGGTCATATGGCAATTCTACTTTCAGTTTCTTAAGGAATATCCACACTGTTCTCCATAGTGGCTGTACTAGTTTGAATTTTTAAAAAGTATTGCTAGTAGCTGTGAGTATTGGACACCATTGGAGGTACAAATTAGAGTCATCATCTTTCTCCTGTAACTGCATCCCTGAGTTTGGTGTTCTAGGCAAAGATTTCCCCATTTCAGTAGTCATTCATGATTGCTGGATCCAGCTAGTTCCCTAACCTTCTTAATTGTGCCTTAACAGTTTATGTTACTTCTCACCTTTCTGTTCTACTGCATTGTCTAAACTCTAGGTTTAGCCCCAGTACCTACCTTGCAGACTCCTGTCCTGGATGTTTGACCTGTGTCTCTGCTTTAACATTAGCCTAAACTTCACCCCAGAATCACCTCTGAACACAGCTCTAGCTCCCACACCCCTGTCCTTCAGTCATTTTCTGTTGCTCTCCACTGAATTGCAAAGTCTTTAATAAAAAGCAGAGTCCTCTCTGCCCAAGCCCACTGTTAATCCAGGGCTACACCTCTCCCTAAACTTCCACTCTGTGGAAGTGACACAGAGCCCACGTGTATACTTGAGATCAGATCACAGAAATTCCACACCATAGGCTAGCCTTCTGCTATCCTCTTACGGCCCTGACCCTCCATATCCCTAAGGCCTACCCATTCTTTCAGTTCCAAATTACCCACCATGGTCTCTCCTTTTCATCCTTCCATTGAGCTCATTTCTCTTCTAATCTGTCATTTATAATTACTTATCTAATCTGTCTGGTCACCTTGCTTACTGTCTTACTGAATATAATATAGCAAATTATTCTTCACACTTATGTCTAATCTTCTCAGCTAGATTTTATACTGCCTAGAACCTAGAAAATTGTACGCACATCTTGGAATCTCTAGGAGGTCCAATAATAAGTGTTAATACTAATGATACCATGATAAATATGAGCACTCCTCTCTTCCTCCACTTTCTGTATTCATAGATTCATGCATTCATTCAACAGATACTGAAATCGCTCATGAACCAGATGTTGTAGTAAGTGTCAGGAATAGGACTGTGAATAGGACACCATCTTTGACTTCAAGGAATTTATGATATAATCTGAATATAGACAGAATTTGTTATGAGTGGGGCTACCTGTTATTAAGCAGTGACTGTCACATGCAACATTGATCTGAACAGATGTTCAGAGTGGAATATAAATAATGGAGCAATATCAACTAGTTGCAAGGAAGTATCACATGTTTGTAAGAGCACATCTCATGCTCACTTAAGAGAGTATGGTCAGGAAAGTTTATGAATAGTTCAGTGACTGTGCATAGTTTTATAATCAGTGTTAGGTACTATGTTCCTAGAATAATGGCCTGTTACCATTTTTGTGGATTTAATGAGTCTTTTAACTACTAAAGACATACTATCCAAAATTCTAGTATTTAAAATAATACATGAAAGCAGTGGAAAACAAAAATCCAAGAAGTTTATCCGTAATGAGAATCTAAAGGAGATTTGACCCAGTCTTAGAAAACAGGCATTGATTTATTCATTTTGCAGGCATTTGATGGAGTTTGTAGGTACTTGGTTTGGGGCAGGAGGATATAAGAATATTAAGTTAACTAGAATCATATGTATCAGGAAACTGTTCTGAATACTGACTGTCTCATCTATACATAAAGATTTGTGAGTCCTTTAGATTGAAATATGGCAGATATCTCAAGTTCTCATATTATTTCATTTTCTAACCATCAGATTTAGTTATGGGTTATTGTAATTACCTTATAAATTCTATATTACCTTTTTTTTAAAAAATGCTAGAGTGCTATTTTTATTTCATGGCAAAAGGCATTTTTAATACATATTTGTTGTAATAGTCTTTTTTAATAAAACAATTTTTCTTAAAATTTCATTCAGGATAAATAGTAGAAGAGGCTTAAGCCTGACACCGTCAGTGACTCATAAAAATATTCCAGTGGCTATAGATTATTTTTAAATTTACCTCTGTACCTTAGGGGTTTCTTGATGGGATGTCCCTGAAAGCAATTAATTCTCATTTTTATGTGGTTTTATAATGCAAAATATATGGATGGAAACAATTTGAAATAAATTTCCTTCTTATATAGTCATGAATGTTTGTTTAAATATCTCTAGAGGTTTTTAAAAAAATACTCTGGCTAAACTGCACTTGTTCTTTTTCACCTCTCACATCGACAGTCTCAAAGAAATCTAAATAGTTTCGTCATGTTTAAATTTTACAACACTTCATAGACTATTAAACATGGAACATCCTTGTGGGGACAAGAAATCGAATTTGCTCTTGAGAAGGTTTCCAACTAATTGATTTGTAGGACATTATAACATCCTCTAGCTGACAAGCTTTACAAATATAAAAACTGGAGCTGAACTGAGAGGGCGCTTTTTTTCTGACACATAAAAGGTGTCTTTCTGTCTTGTCTCCTTTGGATGTGGGCATGTCAGTTTCATAGAGAAACTTTCACATGGAGCTTTTTTATTTCTTTCTCCCCCAGTAGAACTGCATGGGGTAGCACACTGTTTAATCTTTTCTCAAATAAAAGGACACGGGGCTTCATCTTTGTCTTTGCCTTTTTGGTATCTCACAGGAACTCCAGGATGGCATCGGGCAGCGGCAAACTGTTGTCAGAGTATTGAATGCAACTGGGGAAGAAATAATTCAGCAATCCTCAAAAATAGATGCCAGTATTCTACAAGAAAAATTGGGAAGCCTGAATCTGCGGTGGCAGGAGGTCTGCAAACAGCTGGCCGAGAGAAAAAAGAGGTAGGGTGACAGATTAAAATAGGAATGCTGAAATTTTAGTGGAGCTGTTTAAGCTGCCCTTAAAAGAAAAATAAAAGATTTTGTGAAAGATTCGAACCAGGGTGTAAGGCACTAACATTAAGGATTCCATCAACACTTAGTAGCAATAATGAACTTGCTCTTTCTTTTCCTTGAATAATATAATATGTAACTGTTGCTAGTTAAATAGGCAATGCTTTTTGACTGTTCTAAGCTTTGAAGTTTGTTTCAAAAATCACACATGATTGTTTAAATATGAATGTCTTCAGTATATTCTAACTTTCATAAGCTGCATCTCAGTTATTTTTTTTTAACAAAGATGAGAAAAGGACGTTATAAATGACTATTTTGTAGAAAAAGTTGCTCTTTGGCTAGATTGTTTAACAGCTACAAATATGACTTATGATGCTGAAAAGCATGATAGTCATATTTACCTTTTAGTTCCACTACATTTCTTAGCACATTCTTGAAGAAGGACTTGGGCTGAAAATATTCAAATCTACAGGGGAAAACAAAACCTTAGAGACGGTATTGTTGAATTCAATCATCATTTAACTTTCTCTTGAAAGGTACTGAAAGCACAGAAAGCCAAGTGTGTGCTGCTGCAGTTGGAAAACATACATATTTTTATAAACAGGGTTTTGTATTATGCTACCAGTTGTTGCTAATGTTTTCCTATTTCATAAAGGAGGACTTGCCCTTTATTTACCAAATGAGACTGTTGTCATGAACAATGAAAACTCAGTTCATTGCCAAGCTCTTGCTTCCTACCTTTCATCTACTTAATAGGTGGATTTTAATATTCAGAAATCTAGAATAACTCATTGATGAGCATCTTTGGTGAGGATGTATTAGAAAGGTTTTGGAATTACGTCCATTGTCTTTGCCCACCTCTTCTGGCCACCTCTGCTCCTTTTACATTATTCAGAAAGTGGATACAATTCATACTGCTATACAAAATGAACATATTAGTTGACCTACACATGCACGTGCATGCACACACGCACACATACACAGACAAATCTTTACTAAAGTTAAATAATAGCATCATCTAAAAACATTTTCTTTTTAAATTTTAGTTTAGAAAATACTGGAGTACCTATATATATGAGTGAATGAGTATTGCTTGCTCAGTTATGTCAAACTCTTTGCCACCCCATAGTTTGTAACCCACTAGGCTCTTCTGTCCATGGGATTATCCAGGCAAGAATACTAGAGTGAGTTGCCATTTCCTTTTCCAGGGGATATATACATATACATAGACATAAAATAAAGACCCACGCTTTGTAGTTATATTTCTTCCTTTGGAAAGTCATACACATTTTTTCCCCAAAATTGAAATCCTTCTATTAAATACACAACATCCCATTATTTAAACAGCTAATATATTTACACTATCGGCAGGTTTAAACCTGTGCATCATTTCTGCACTAGACCCAATCTAGTCTAAAATAAGACATTAAGAAATGGGAAAATTAAGGAAAATTGAATAACATGCTATAAAAATATATCAGCTTTATAAAATGGATTAAATTGACTGGAGGATTATTTTTTCATTATTGTATATAAAATGTTTCTCATTTTGAAGTATCTTACTCATATAATATTTGAGTAAAGCCTTTTAAAAATATTTTCTGTAACTTCTTACCTGAGTTTTAAAATTTTTATTATTGGTCATTGACTTCTAAATGCAAATTAGAACTTACAAATGTTGATAGGACAATATACCTGCTTCACCAAATAAGTTCTAAAATTTTAGATCCTTCTAAGCTAATAAGAAATTGATGTACACTGACTGTGTTGTGAAATATTACACACATTGTAGGTTAATTACAACTAGTATGGATTTGGCTGTAATTGGTTAGGAAAAAATTCTCCCGTTTAAACATTCTGACCGACATTAAACATTGTACTTTTGTTCCTTAAAAAGTAAGATCAGCTTCCTTGTGGTTTTATTTTTCCTTTAAACTCAGCTTTTAAAGTTGTCTACTTCATGCTACATTTTAAAAATAGATGTTAGCATATTTAAATTTCCACTGAGATCAGTTTTGTGGCAAACTCAGGATTTTTGTATCATTTAAGTTTTATGAAATATAAAAGAGTAATACAATGTAAGTGCCATTTCTACAAATACACTTACAGCTATTGCTAAGCACCTAGTACAAATAAAGTAAAAATAAATAAAATAATATTTTATAAAGAACATGTTAACCTAACAATCATGGGAGGGCTTGTAATCATGAAACTATTATTAATCAGTGGTGTGCTTTCAGTGTAACCCAAGCAGAAGTTACAAGGAAATAGGTTATTGCACAGGTGAAAAATTAGATGACTGTTCCAGTTGGCAACAGTATTTTTAATTTGCAAGCGGGATTTAAATACAGCTATTGAAATATCTAATGTTTCTTAGTCCATGTACACCAATGAAAGAAAGTGTATAATTTAAGTGATTGAAGTCTATAAAAACTATGTGGAGCTTTATAGCTACATAACTTTAGACATTTCTCTTTGAAAATGTAAGATATTGGAAATATGAGGAGAAAATTCTTAGAAATTTCAAATAGCAGCAGACATCCATTGAAGTTAGTCTGTGTTGGAAGTAAATGAAGTATAAAATATAGCCAATTAGCTGTTCAATTTAATATGGAAAATTCACTGTTGCCTCGATTATGTAGCAGAGGAACTGAATAACATCTATAGTTTTAAGGCTGATAATAATGAGTTTAATGATGACTTAGCCATCAAAATGGTCTTTGTAAATGAAGAAGATATAAACAAAAGTTATTGACCATAAAGGGAAGTCATAGGTTAAAACAAAGTAACCCTGTGAATGAAGACTTTTAAGCCTTGGTTCACTGATAGAAGTCAGGGGGTGCCATGAACTTGAATGGGAGGAAATACCTCTTTGTTTTCACTAACCTCTTAACTGAAGTTTAATATCCCCTTGCATTTTGAATATAGGCAATAAACCAGAGCAATGCTAGCAGTATCTGAAATCACAGATGTTTCCATATCTCATTAGAATTGTCACATATATCTCAAAATATGGTTCATGCTTATCACTACTTCAAAACTGTAGTAGGTATTAGATCTACCACAGTATCTTATTAAAGTGTTAATAAAAAGCAAACAGGCATTACTGTATCACAAATGTGTTTCTAATAATCTTAAAACTGTACTTCAATATAATTGACTTCCTTTGGAGTCCTGTGTATTTTATATTATGAGTTTAAAAGCATTATTCTGGGAGTCCCAGATTTCACCAGATTGCCAAAAGAGTTCATAGCACTGAAAAAAAAAAGACCCCACTATTTCTAATCAGTTGTTCATTTATCTGCCCAGACCTCATTATCATATAATATAGTTTTGCTCTTTTTGATGGTATAGTCACTGTCCTCAAACATTCCTTTATCCTGGAATATTCTAGGAGATATACCAGTCAAGGGAATGTGGGTAGGCAGACCTTCAAGCAATGGATTGTTGACACCATAAGAAACTGTATTTTACTTAGAATAATGTTAATTGATAAAAAACTGAAAGAGGGAAGCAATGTAGTGGGAACCAGAATCCCTAAATTAAGGAATCTCTGAATCATTGCCCATAGCAATAAAAAATGATCTGTCCTTTTTTCTTTTGACAAATGTGATATTACTTCCTCCATTTCACAGATAGGACAATTATTGTACAAACATATATTGAGGAATAACAATTCTAATTTAAATGTTACCTAATTAAAAATGTGGCTTGAATTTTTCTTTTTGAATATTATTTTTAGTGAAAAATTTTAAGCATGTAGAAAAGTTGAAGTAAAGTCGCATAATGAATGCCCATATACCCTCCTCTCTTCCTCCTACATTTCTAGATTCAACAATTAACATTTCACCATATATGCTCTTTCTCTCTCTTTGTCTGTATCTCCCCCATATCTGCCTTTCTGTAATATAGGAAATAACATACAGACACAAATTTTTGTTGTCTTTACACTTGCATATAAATTATAAACACTCCTATACTTAACCACTGAATATTTCAGCATGCATCTCCTTGGAATAATGACTTGCCACATATAACCATGCTTGTTTACCATGCTTGAGAAAATTTAAAATAACACTAAATTATTATTTAGTGTCCTGTCCATGCATCTTTCTGAATTAGAGTTTTCTCCAGATATATGCCCCAGAGTGGGATTGCAGGATCATATAGCAAATCTATTTTTAGTTTTTTTAGGGACCTTCCATACCTCATTGTAGTTCTGATTTGCATTTCTCTAATATTAATGATGTTGTGTATCTTTTCGTGTGCCTCTTGGCCATCTGTATGTCTTCTTTGGAGAAATGTCTATTTAGGTCTGCTGCCTATTTTTTGATTTTTGTCATTGTTGTTATCTTTTTTTTTAATTGAGCTGCATAAGCTATTTGTATATTTTGGAGATTGATCAGACACATTGCTTGCAAATGTATTCTCCCATTCTATGGGTTGTCTTTTTGTGTTATAATTTCCTTTGCTATGCAAAAACTTTTAAGTTTAATTTGGTCCCATTTGTTTATTTTTGTTTTCATTTTTGTTCTTCTAGGAGGTCGGTCCAAAAAGATATTGCTGGGATTTACGTCAAAGTTTTCTGCTCATGTTTTTCTCTAGAAGTTTTATAGTGTCTAGTCTTATATTTAGGTTTTAATCCATTTCGAGTTTATTTTTGTGTATGGTGTAAAAGAATATTCTAATTGCTTTATTTTTTAATATGTAGCTGCCCAGTTTTCCCAGCACCACTTGTTGAAGAGAACGTCTTTGCCTCCTTTTATCATAGCTTAATTGACCATATGTGTGTGGATTAATTTCTGGGCTTTCTATCATGTTCCATTAGTCTACGTGTCCGTTTTTGTGTCAATACCATACTGTTTTGATGACTGTAGGTTTGTAGTATAGTCTGAAGTCAGGGAGCCTGATTCCTCCAGCTCCTTTTTTTTTTTTTTTTTTCTCCTCAA